ATAGAGGAGTGTGCGTCAGTAAGGCAGTGGGGGTTAGAGCTTGGAGACCTGTGTGAGTACATGTACTTTAGTGGCTGTTGGGGAAAAAGACAGATTAGGGCTTTTGTTGCGAAAGAAAATGAATGAGACTGTATGGGAGGAATGAGGGATGAAAAAACGACAGTAGAGGAGTGCTGGTCAGGGTGGCTGTGATATAGAGCTTGGGGACCTGCCCTGAGTAAGTGCACGCATTTTGGTGGCTGTTGGGCAAAGGACAAAATAGGGCTACGGTTTGGCCGAAAATAAATTAGATTCTATGGGAGGAATAAGGGATGAAAAAACGACACATAGAGGAGTGCGGGTCAGTATGACCTTGGTTGAGCTTGGCGACCTGTCCTAAGTGAGGATGTGTAGTTCTTAATTTTAGTGCTACCTTAGAGTTCCACCTTAAATTGTGTGCCTCCACAATTTAGTGCTATGTTAACCGAAGTTCCACCTTAAATTCAGTGCTAACATAAATGCAGTTCCACCTTAATTTCAGCGTCAGTGTAAACTCAGTGCTACCTTAAAAGAAGTTCCACCTTAAAATTCAGTGCTACCTAAGTGCAATTCTACCTTAAAAGCAGTTCCACCTTAAAAAAATTCTTGGGTGCTGATACTGCTGAGCATTAGGCTGTGAGCATGTGAGACTTTGTGCTCCGTGTGAGTTTGTATGTGTGTGTGAGAGAGGGACCCATTGTGACATCACGTGTGGCATGCTGCCAATATTCCGCCCATTCATTCTCTATGGGACAAAAATTCCGCAACATTCGATTGCCACATGGAATCCGTGTATCCGATCAAAAAGCTGTATACAAGCACGCATCACACAATCAGGCCAGACAATCTGGAGTTGGAACGGTAATAAAATAACCAAAACCTTTCAGGAGACGAACCATCTTTCAACATTTCAGCCAAAAGCTCTTATGACCCCCATCTGAATTAAGTCTGATTAAGAAGCTTTACCCCTATTTATGGAAGTATCTTGCTTCATGGACAAAATGAAACTGAAAATCATTCTGACTGTTACTCGATGCTTTTGTTGTGTGTGTGTGTGTGCGCGTATGTGTTAATTTTTTGCAAAATGTTTTATGTTTACACTAATTCTACTGTTATAGGGGAACACCATTGATTTTGCAAAATTACTTAATCATTCAACCGTTTAGATGTAAACAAAATCATTCAGAGTGGTTTGGTGTGAAATTGTTCGCTCTCTCTTCTTCAAGCCTCTGCAAGCAATTTGTGTATTCTGGTTCAAATCGATATGGCTCGACGACATTTTGGAAACAGACCTTATCAAAGTCCTCCACACACTTTGCCATCTTCCAAAATAGATAAGAAAACTATAAAAATGAAAAACAAAAAACAAAAGCTGCTGCCGGTGTTGTATCTGATTCAGTTCCCCCTGAATTCACGTTCCCTTTGACAAATAAAGTCTTCAGGCAAGGCACATACACTGAACAGAAAACAATGCCAAGTAACACTGGAACTACGGAAGGCGAAAAAGTTCAAAAAAAGATTGAACGGTCGCATGTTTTCACCGAATCCCCCACTATAATTTCATTCAAGATAACATGGCATAACTGAGATTCCGTAATTAATTTTAGTTTCAATTTGAGTAAACAGTAAACAACTGTACTGATAAATACTTTTTTGTACTAGCTTCAGGCTAGTAACTACAAAAGCAAGTTAGCTTGCACACATTGATCTTGAGAATGCGGCTTTGACAGGAAACACGGAAGTAATTTTGGAGTAATAGTTTATATTAAAAGTACAGTTTAGGCCAAAACTTTATAGCAAAACTAGCACAGAATAATAACAGTGTAAAAACTTAATGGGATGTAGCTTTTAGTATAAATGCTTCGGACGTCTGGTTCCTAGCACTATAATGGTGAACAATACTCTGTAAATTTCTCTAGAGAGGTGCATTTCACACCGCACCACTCCGAATCATTTTGTTTACATCTAAACGAATGAATTATTAAAAAACTTTTTTTCAAAATTGGTGGAGTTATCCTTTAAGACAGTATTTTTCCATTTCGGTAATATTGCCTCCAGCCATCCCTGAACCTAGCAGATATACATGCATTTGTAACATCTCATTTAGACTGTTGCAATGTGCTTCTATCTGGCCTCCCTGTCAAAAGGTGCACTTTGAGTAATTCAGGCCTTCTCCATGTTTCAAGGTTCAAATTGACTTCTGTGGGCGGTCGATCATTTAGTATAGTAGCTCCCAATTTATGGAATTCTCTCCCAAAGTTTATTTGGCATGACTCCTCTCTATCCTTATTCAAATCTCCATTCAGACACATGTAGACATGACATTGTTATACCTACATGTATCTGTAGTCATATCTTTTTTTTTCCTCTTTCCTCCTAGTTCCTCTTTGTTTTTTTATACTTTTCTCCTCGTGTTTTTGATCTGATCTACAATGGCACAGTTACTTGTTTCCTTGTGCTGTTTTTTTCAAAGCCTTTTTGTCTGTCCTCTAACATTCATGCATGCTGCTGTTATGGCAGTAACTGTATGCCTAATTACTGCCTGCATATGCATAGATATTCAATATTTGTTAGCGATCTGTGTGCTTGTCTGGTCTGTTCTGTATGCTAAATGGCATACATGTGTGCCCTCACCAAGACAAGTTCCCTGTATGTGTAACATAATTGGCAAAATAAAATTAATTCTGATTCTTTGCTGCATCTACAGTCTACAGGAGTCAACTGTTCAATGTCAAAGCAGTGACACTGACATTATAGTGGCATGTTAGTATGTGTGGCAGTTGAATGAGTGTATCAGGCACAGTATTGTTGATCACATAACATGGACATTTGAACTAGAGTTGGACAAGAGTACACCCTTAAAAAGGGGCTTTGTCAGGGGTGCTTTAGTAAAGGTAATGGTCATAAATTGATCATTTAAATGCTTAAATGGTTCTTTGCCTAGTTAAATTTCTTTCTATGATGAAAAGCCTTATGAATATGGCTCTTCAAAGAACATTTTTAAAAAAGGGTTCCACTATTGGTAACAGTCAAAGCACTCTTTTTCAGTATTATCTAGAACAATTTTTTGCAAAGAGTGTACAACAAAGTACTTGTATGGTTACTCCCTTTTCAAGTAATTGCATTTATTTTATTTACTGTGTTTTTATTTTCAAGTATGTACTTTATTTCTGAGTAATTACATCACAAAAAACTACAATCAAAAACAATCAAAACAAGGTACTTTTGCAGCTTAATTTACACATGGGGCATGGATGGTACTTTTTGAACAATGTTTTCATGCTATGTGAATTTATTTCGTTTTTTAAAAAAAGAAATTTGTTTTCTGTAATATCGACAAATTCTAAGGATTAATGATTTTTTTTCAAACTAAGTTTTTGTTTTTAATTCATTAGAGTACATGGCGACAAAGTTATGCAGACTTATTAACTGAAATCACACCTCAAACCACTGTATTGAAAAACTTTTCAGTGAGAAAGTTAAGAAAAAAACAGTATACATGTTCCTGCATGAGACTCAATGTGACAATTTCTTCTTAAATAGTAACTACACCCCACAACTTTCAGCTAACTCCACCCCTGGCACAACTTGAAAAATGCTAAAAAATGGGAGGGGCACTGCAGTGATGTTTGGGTTTGGAGGTGGGGCTGCGAGGGAAACCGGGTGGGCTGGCCCGTGTTTTTAGAGCTTGCGTATGTTAGCTACCAGAAAATATGGAGACTGACAGAATCAAACAGCACTTTTGCAACTGAGAGGTCTCACAAGGTTGATGATTTTTCTTCACTACCATCCCCATCTTTGACAAGGGAAGGTGTTCCTGATCAGGCAGTGTGTCTTGAGCCTTAACAGTATAAGCCACTGACTCAAGCCGCCAAAGAGTTAACGTAGTGCCAGAAAATGATTAGCAGCGAGTGGCAGAGGCGTCCGAACGGTAGAACATGCCGTAAAACCACGACAGCTAGCTTCTAATTGTCTGTTCAGCAGGTCCATATTCGATATAACCGGAGTCCTGATTACTTAGATGCTCTGAATTCCAAATAAATAAAGTGGATTTCTTTGAACACTGTTTCATTCAGTTTGATATCAAAGTCGCAGATTGCATCACCGGTCAGCCAGGGTTTGCTGCAGTGGCCCTAAATCCTCACGTTCTGCAAGCTGTTCATGGCAAATAACAGTGTTACGTCCAATTCAGTTCCCACGCAAATTCACATTCCCCTGTATAAACTGAACCCTCGGCGTGCGCACTCACTAAACAGTACACACTGGAACTATGGAAAGCAGGAGAAATGGCCAAGAAAGGCTGTACGGACGAAAGGTTGACACCATCAGTAACAATGGCCATTTAACATTAACATTTTCTGAACCTTGTCGTTTTCTGTAGTTTCAGTGTTGCTTGCCGTTGATTTCTGTTCAGTGAGAGCACGTGCCCAGGTTGATTTGTGAAGGAAAGCGTGAACCTTCACGGTTACCTAGTCTTATGTTGAACATTAGATGCTTAGATAAACTGGGATGTTTACAGTAGGTACAGACAGCTGGCATATTGAAGCCTTTTGAGGTGGGGTATTTAGCTCCTCGCTCTAGGTTCCTTTGCTTTCATATTTATGAGCGCAGCACAAGAAGGGCATCAACATGTTAAACATGATTTGCATACTGTGCCGTGTCATGGTACTTCGGTACCAAGACACGTCATCCGCACCTATAGCAGAGTTGAACCAGAGGGGTGCTGCAGAGGCAGAACTGACCACGATAAAAATTATATTTTTACAGTTTGGAAAGATGTGTTCACATTTTAAGCAAAGCTGGTATATTTTATTTTTACAGAGCAGTGCATTTCAGCTGTTAATGGCAAAAAAGGTCTTAGGGTGTAGTTACTGTTTAAGACACAAAATGCCTGAAAATGACTGGGGTTACACAATTTATAGGTTACTACAGAAATAACATTATGGTCCACTTGGTCAGAACTTACTCTAACATGTACTTACCTGTAACTCGGCACGCAGCCTCTTGTTTTCATCGTCCAGCTTGGCCTCCTTCTTCTGCATGGAGGCGATCTCATTGTTCTTGCTAACGCGGAAGATCTCATAGTCCTTCCTGAGACGTTCATACTCTGCTGCATACTCCAGCTCCACGGAGCCAGTGGACTTGAAGCTGGCTCCGATTCCCCGCGGTGCACGCCGGAATGAGCTGCGCAGGAGCCGTGCCTTAGGCTTCACCTCCACAGGGATCTCGCACGCCTCGCCACCTTCGGCACCATAGCCGTCCTCAATCAAATCTCCAGGGCTCACAAGTGAGGAGGCCGTGCCCATAGTGGATTGAGCAAGCCCTAGCTACGAGACACCACCCTGGCTAAAGGAGCACTGATGGTCCTGTGGATGTGATATAAAAACACTTATGACAGTGTAACAGCACACTTTGCTAAAAGTATATGAACACCCCTTCAAATTAGTCTTGGTTATCTCAGCCACACCTATTGCTAACAGATGCATAAACTCATTCATTCATGCAATCTACACAGACAAACACTGGCTGCAGAATGGGTCAGAATGAAGAGCTCAGTGACTTTGAACATGTCACAGTCATAGGATGCCACCTTTTTAAAATAACTGGTTTGTCAAATTTCTGTCCTCCTGGAGCTTCCCAGGGCAACTACAAGCGTTGCTTCTGTGCATTGTATATGTGTATTGCCGGCCTTATACCTTATAACGACACAAATTTCCAGTGTCGGAATTAAAATCATGAGAGTCTTGTTAAAGTTGCGTCGCACTGGCATCCTCTCGATCGTTTAGTGTGAGATGGTCAGGATGGCTGTTTTAGGTCTGTCTTTTTCTCGCCTTGACGCTGCAATAAAATCAACTATGTTTGATATTGTCGTAAGTTTTAAGTCTTGGCTCATGCAAATAGTGACGTGCCAGGTGTGCAAATAAAAACTTACCAAATAAAATATTGCAGCGATGGCAGTAAATAATGGAGAGAGCAAGCTGAATATGTGACTGAATATTAGGAGGAATGACATGCTTGCTAAAGCCTTGGTAAATGGAAACCGAAACCCCAAGTGCAGGACTCCCCCTTAAACAGCAGGGGGCATAATATTTTCAGTTCATTGCACTTTAGTTATGTTTTGACATTGTATATTTTTAACATCGGGAGCTGACAAGCTAACTAACTTACAAATTTGTACATTAATTGCAAAAAATATTCTATGAGATAAAATTCCTAAATTTAGTTACAATTTGCTTCTGTAATAAGAATTTGTGAAATCTTGAATTTGTCAGACTAAAGATAGGTAGTTTCTATAATATAGCTCCTATATTTCTAATCTGCCTCTGAAAGCAACATGAGCAAAAACTTGCTTTTCAGGAGCTTCACAGGAAGGGGTTCCCTGAATGAGCAGCCACTGACCAGCCTAAGATCACCGTGCATCGACTGGAGGGATTTAAAGCACAGTGCGACTGGACTCACACTTCATACATCACAATGGCAGTCTAAAGGATGAATTTGGGTTTTGCAGATGACAAGCAATCTGCCCCAATTCAAGGTGCCAACCATAATGTTTTGTGGAGAAACGATAATGGTTTGGTCTGGGCCAGTTCCACTGAATGAGAATCTTAATGATACAGCATACAAAACGTTCTACAGTTTTGCACTTCCAAATTTTTAGAATGACAATGCCCCTGTGTACAAAGAGAGGTCCGTTAAGAAATGCTAAATGCTATGCTCAGTTTATGTGAAAGAACTTCATTGGCCTGCAAAGAGGCCAACCTCAACTAGTGCCCGACTTCACTAATGCTCTTGTGTGAACAAGAATAGTAAGCAACCACTTACTAACTTCTCTTTAGAGACAGGTTATACAGCCTGATTTTCCAGTTAATGGAATCTATTTATCTAACTTCATATTTTCATTGTTTAAATACAAAATTGTTCAATATGGCATTTTAATACGTCAACATCACTGCATTATGCTGATTAACCTACTTTTTATTATCATATTTCTCTACAATGCCTATGTTACTAACACTGAGGTAAAGCTACAGTAAAAAAATAAACTACTTTGGGCTGGCTTAATGGTATGCAGCTTTTTTTTAAACACTATCAACTATTAATTAAGGCTAATATAACTAACCAGGATAATGAGGCCAGAAACAAGGTTAGTATTACAATACCATTACTAATCCTGGTACTTTTAAGTCTTCTTGAGTACATAAAAATGCCTTTTGTGATTTCTTTAGTAAACATTTGTATTTTTGTTTATCAGGCATTTTTGTCAGTATTTTGTTAATATTATCCATTACAACTAACTAGAAAGATCTCAAATAAAAGATTTAAGTTAACTACCAAACCCTCTGAGTATTTAAAAGTTAACCTAGTTATTTTCAGCACATTTATTAGTAAAATTCAGGGCATAAGACAAAACTTCATAAAGAAGCTCTTAAGGAAAAAAACATCAAAGGAAATTTTCTGAAATTGATGAAGTTAAGGGATCAAATATTAAAAAATTATCTAAACTCTCAATTGTATGTTGATAAATAGAAATGTACAATGCAACATACTACGGTTACTAAAGAATTCAGAAAAACAAAGCAAATTCTTTATATTTATTATTATAATATAATTATTTATATTCTTTATATTATTCATGATGCTACAGGGAATACTAAACAATTTTAGGAGAACATTAAAACGTTAGTTGGTGTTATGCACAGTGGATCATCAAAACAATTACAGTTGAAACTGAATGATAGTACATTACAAGATCCAGTATAAACCGCTGAAGCTTTTAACAGACACTTTATCAAACTGAGTTTTGCCACTACAGATGACAGAGTACTTATAGATGCCTCCAAACCCCTGTTTAGTATAAGTAATATTTTTGAGAATGATGTACTAAGGATAATTCATTTACTTAATATCACTAAGGCCAAATATTGTTATGGTATGGACTCTGCAATGCTTAAGTCTTTAAAGGAGCCCCTGGCTTCACCCATTACAAATGACATCAACCTCTCTCTCTAATACATACATATACCCATACACACACATACATATTTCTACATTTCTAAATTTAAATTTAATACTTTGTATATTTTTCTTGTAATCTTTGTACATATACATATATATCTTTATACTTTTATTGTTTATTCTATTTTATATATTGTTTGTATATTTCCTGCTGCTCTGTCTTCTGTGCTGCTGTAACACCGCAAATTTCCCCGTTGTGGGATTAATAAAGGATTATCTTATCTTATCTTATATACATATATACATACAGACATTATATATATACATATATTATATATATATATATATATACATATATATATATATATATATATATATATATATATATATTTATATACACACACACACACACATACATATACATACATATATATATATATATATATAGCAGCTTTTTAGGAGTGATATAGGTTAACAGGGCAAATCTCAGAAACATTTTTAGAGAAATAAAATCAATAATAAAATATTAATATTAATGTGTATTCAATAATGGTATGCACTACGAAAGCAGAAATGGTTTCATTATGGAAACGATTTTTTCAAAAACCTTACCTCCCTGCAAAATTAAGTTGAAAACTGAAATGTATTAAATGGTTTGCAGCATATGTTCTCTGCTGTCACATCTATGCATTGTTGTTAAAGTAGTAGCCTAGATATGGACAAACGTATATTTTCTTTTCAATGTTGAATCTTCATTCGAATGCTGTGTCGTCCAGGACTAGCCTTAATCTCTGTCCGGCAAACTGACCCACACTACTTTTAGAAGCGTTGACTACAAATTATTAGACACTAATACATTTTAACATTTAAATCAAGTCGGTTATTCCGACACTGAAACAGCCCAAAATCTAGCTTTTAGAGCAGTTTTATATATCAGAAGTGTTAACTTCTATCTACCGTCAGACTGAATCATGAGGTGGTTTTAATCTCAACTGCCTCTAAACGTAGCACTACCCAAACAAGAACCGCTAGCTAGTAAAGATACGAGACAAAAGTGGACTGATTTAATTCTTTGTTTGGTTTTCAGATTAAGAACAGTAACCTAGCTAGCTAACTCTGAACGCTTAGTTAGCTTTGGTTGCTTCTTTATTAGAATTACAAATACTGCATTCACAAATAAGTTAGCTAGCTAACCGTTAGCTACCTACCTAACTATAGAAACCCCACCTAGAGCTTAACGTTAGCTTTTGAAGGTAGGGGAGTTTGGCTCTTCCAAAACTCTGAATTAAGGTCGTGGGATTGGTTTATCCTTCACTAAAATACGTTATCAGTAGTACAGCGCAAATCTGATCAACAGCAAAGTTACTAACGTTAACCGCATACGGATTTTTCACGTTACCCAATCCTATACCCTGAACTAGTTATACCGTTACCAGCTTCCTGACGTTAACTACGACTATGGACAAAACTAACTACTTCAAATAAACACCACTATTAAAAATAAGAGACGACATTGCTCTTCGCTCATAGCTCATAGCGCTGTTTGTGTTCAGTTTTAGAATCAGAACTTACATTAGGAAAGCATAAGGAGGTAAACAAACGCCAAAGTCTTCCACAGCTCCCCCATCACCCGGGCAACCGCCTCCCTCTACGGCTCCCCTATAAGGACAAACCTCTGTCGAGCCCGAACTTTTCTTCTTCAAAGCATTGCTAAAAATGCTTCATTTTATCGCTTTAGAGATAATATGTCGTAAATAGACATAAATATATCACTCTTTTCAGGGAACTGGCATTTTCGTTAGGCTTAAAGGTGAATTTCATTGATTTCCAAAACACTGCATATTCGGTCATTAAGATGTAGCCATTCTAGAGAAACTTACCAAGTCAGAATTTTTTCACAACAGTAGTGATAGGAACCAGTCTTCCGAAGCATTTAATGTTTCTAATATAGAAGCATATCAGTATTAAAATTAAAATGCAATATGTAAAATAGCAATGTTTTTATATGTTTGCATTTAAATTTACCACTAATATATGCAATGGTGGGCTCAAAATGAACATTCAAATAGAATACTGCATTTTTAATTTTCAATAACATCTTTATTTAAATTAAAACGTATATCCAAATCTGCATATTTATGCTGAATGTGATTTATGCAATAATTGTGTCAGAATGATAATTAAAATGTAATTTATCTTAAATGCCTTTTTACTCTCTAATAATGCCCTTAAATTACATTATCAAAAAGAACACCAAGCTAAAAGGATGGCAAAATTCACATGTAAATCAGAAACAGCACCTTTCCGCTTAGGAATTACAAATTCTCACCTTCTGCGATCATTCTGTGTCGAATGCCTTTAAAAATGTATTCGACCGCATTTTTATTTTCATGGTCTTCCCAATCTGTCAATTATACTGTCAGGGTGGGGCCAACCGCACGCTCAGTGGAAAAGGTGCTATCTAAAAACATGCCAGCCTTAGAGTTTATAGTTACATATATTACATTATAGCTAGTTTATAGCTAGAAGAGAAATATAGCCAGTTGTGATGCTTAGTGTCTCATGAGAATCAAATACATGGCCAGGTTTTCCGGTTTATCAATCTGGTTGATAAAAATGAGGCTCAACTTAGCTTCTCGCCAGCTACTTTTTCAAATTTTCCGATCCAAGTTAAACAGTGCTGCATTTACATTCTGGCGCCTCCATGCACCCAAATATAACAGCAGCACAGTTTTAGGTGGAACGAAAACGTCAGAAAAGAAGCTGACTTTGGCTTCATTTCATAAACTGAGAATAGCGGCTAAAAGTGAGGCTGGACAGAGATTTCCATTTGATGCGATGCAGGGATATCTTCTACAAAGTGAGCATTTGAGGTGGATATATCATTTGGCTATCAGCTCCCCTGCTAATATGCTACGTGAGTTGTGAAGGACTGCAGAATCAAGCTAGCTAGCTAAAAGCCATCGTTAATGCTAGCTAACGCTACATTTCCAAACTAGGCCCCGTCTGCTGTTTTTATCATCTGGCTGACATAATCCAGTTCACTGTGTCATACATATATACAAGCGATATTTGTAATATTAATTTTAAAAAAGGAAAGCAGAACATCAGAGACCCCCAAGCTGATTTCAGTAAATTATGACACCGTACCGACACAGTACATTGGCTGTTGCCCACTCAACAACATAACAAGGTGGTTGTGTGATTTACACAGATAGATATATCTGCCGCATTTGTAGCCTATGGTTGGCTAACAAGGACTATAATTTAACCAGCTGATTAAAACAGAGACTTCTGCCATATGTTTGATTAAAAATTCTTTGGGTACAAAGTTATATATTGTTCTGTCGCACTATCTTCTAAAGAAAGATTGGCCACAAAACACGAAACAGCTCACTGCCCTCTTTGACACTGACTTGTCAGTGTCTTTCCTATGTCCAGGTGTGCTTCCCCACCCCTAGAGCAGCATACCTGCCAACTGGAAAACCACGACCACCCGACTCAAGCAGTCACTGGCAGTTAAGTCAACTTGGGAGGGAGAAGCTTCTCTTATCACTGTGTAGCACGGCATGTGCTACCCCGGGCTCAAGGAGGACGCTGGAGGCAGGGTTTAGGGTTGCAGCAGCCATCTCTTTAATCAAAAACAGACAAACCGAACAATACAAAGAACCTAAGCTGGCCACTCTTCAGTGGCTTTATCCTCAATAAGGAGCTTTCCAGCTCCTCAGTCTCTTGTTGTTGCTGCTGCGTGTCCCTCCCTCCCTCCCCCCCCCCTCCCCCCCCTCCCCCATCTCGGTATAATAATAACAATAATAATAATAATACATGACATTTGTATAGCGCTTTTCAAGGACCCAAAGACGCTTACAGATTACAATTAGTGGCACAAGAAACAAATACATAACAACATACAAACAGATGACACAGCAGACACAGAGATGCATATTCACAGCACAGATTACAAACTAATATGAGCTATAATAGTTTAAGATAGGGGAAGATTGTATGCAAGACAGATGTGTTTTAAGGTTGGATTTAAATGAGGACGGAGAATTAGAGAATTAGAATGGAGTGTGCGCGTAGGCTTTTGGGTTGGAGAAGATCAGAGAAAAAGAAAGGAGCAAGATTGTTGAGAGCTTTGTAGGCGAGAAGAAGGATCTTGAACTGAATACGATAGTTTATGGGAAGCCAATGGAAATTTTGGAGAACTGGTGTAATGTGGTGATGTGATCGAGTGTAAGTGAGGAGACGAGCAGCAGAAATGAAAGCATGAATGAGAGTTTCAGCAGCTGATGCTGAGAGATGCTCAGATTTTTGCTTCATTGCATAAGTAAAAGAAAGAGGTTTCAACAAGGGAGCTGACATAAGAGTCAGGTTTGAGTGAAGAGTCGAGGATGACACCCAGATTACGGACCATAGAGGAGGGAGACAAAACATCATCAACTGAGAGAGTGAGGGGGCCAGTTTTATTGAGCGCAGATCTAGAACCAATGAGAATGTGTCCAGTCTTATCACTGTTCAGCATTAGAGAGTTATGTTTCATCTAGTTCCTGATTTCTGAGAGGCACAATTCCAAATTGCCAAGACGGGGGTTAGTGGGTGAATTTCCGAAGATAAATCTGAGTGTCATCCGCATAGCAATTAAAGTCAAGGTTAAAATATCAAATAATCTTGCCAAGAGGGAGCACGTTAATAATGAATAATAATGGGCCAGGTAAAGAACCTTGCGGGACCCCTTAAGTGACAGTGGAAGTGGAGGAATGATGCCCAGAGAGAGTAACAAACTGTTTATGATCTGTTAGATAGGAAGTGAACCAGTCAAGAGCAGAGCCTACAATACCCAGCTCACTCAGTCTAGAGAGGAGGATGGAATGGTTAACTGTGTGAAATGCAGCGCTTAAATTGAGTAGCACAAGAATGCTAATGGTACCAGCATCAGCTGTCACCAGGAGATCATTAACAACTTTGACCAGAGCTGTTTTAGTGCCATGATGTGGCCGAAAACCAGACTGGAAGGGATCTAGAAAATTATTTGTTTCCAAGTAATCTTTGATCTGCATTGCGACAGCACACTCAAGGACTTTCGACAAGAATGGAAGATTTGAGATAGGACGAAAGTTATTAAAGTTACATTGGTCAAGGCCAGGTTTTTTAAGGACTGGAGTAACTGCAGCAATTTTGTACACTGAGGGAACATGGCCAGAAGATAATGACCGGTTAATCATAGTGGTGTGGGGAGGGGGTCAAGGGAGCAGATTGTACTACTAGAATTTGTAATGATTTCACTAACAACAGACTAACAAGAGTAACACGGTTGAAGGCAGGGAAGCAGGGTGAGTCTAAGGGCTGGGTGTTTGAAGGAGATCAAAAGAACATTTTAGGGGAGGAGGCCATAAGAGAGTTGTTGATTTTAGATATTTTACTTACAAAGAAATGTAAGAATGAGGTACAGAGTTGCCACAATGCCTACTGGAGGTTTGAAAAGCTTAGAGACGGTTGAAAATAGATGGCAGGAGTTTGAGTTCGGCTTGTTAAAAAGACTAGAAAGATAGCTAGATTTAGCAGTGCATAGTGCATCTCTCTAAGCACAGAAACTCTCCTTATAAGCATCAGCATGCACTGTAAGTTTAGATTTTTTATACAGCCTTCCAAGTCGACGACAAGCCTACTTCATGGTGCAAAGTTCAATAGTGTACCAAGGTGCAGAAGTGGTAAAAGAATCGGCTTTGGTTTTCATAGGGGCTACTGCTTTGAGGGACTCAGAGAGAGACATATTCAGCATTGTAGCATGTTCCTCAGGAGAAAGGGGCACAGTGGAGTGGAAAAGCCCTAGAAATAGGCTGGATAAGAGAGCGAGGGTCAACAGATTTAATACTACGAAAAGAGAAAAGTCTTTTCACTGACTGATGAGTTACAGTAGCAGGGACTGCAAACAGAATAAGCGTATGGTCTCATAATGTAAACGGAAGAGCAAACATTCAAGGAGAGACAGAAAATCAGTCACATATTTACTAGTAGGAACATTAATATGAATATTACAGTCACCGAGTAGCAACAAGCGGGAGGAAGCTGAGCTAGCACGAGTGAGTAGCTCTGATAATTAAGAGAAAAAAGAACCATTAGGTTTTGGTGGGCGGTAAATCAGCAATGCAATAATGATCAGAGTAATGCACAGATCTATTGCGATTTAATCTCAAAACACGATGAACATAATGTCGTCGACAGCGACATGTATACCAGCTCTACTGGCCGCTACTGCACGCATTTTGGGGAGACGATAGGAGTGACTATATTTATGCAGTTCAGTAGCAGTGTAAGACAGATGGTGTGACCAAAACGGCGGTTCCAGAGACGGGTAGGGACAAACTAAACCAGGGATAACTGGACTAGCTAGCAATAATATCAGAGCGTTTAATAGATGCATTGACAGACCAGAGGATGAGCCAGTTCAGTCAGGGCTAGTGTCCAAGCATATCGGAGTTGGAGCAGGATAGCTGGGATGCCACAGGTTTAGAGCAGAATAGACACAGTGCTAACAGTCCGGTTGAGCAGGGTAAGAGCAGGATAGCTGTGGGGCTAACAGTCAGGCTCCGGGGAAGTGGAACAGGCTAGCCGCAATGCTAACAGTCAGGCTCCACGGTAGCGGAGCAGGA